CGCTTTAACAAATACCTTCTTCACAGAAGAAATCAACTTGTCAGCAAGCGGAAAATTTGCACGAATTGTTTCTGCAACACGGTGCAACCAATGGGCAAGTCAAGTCAAATATGTTATTTTTGAAATATAACTTTAAGAGCAGTACCGGCTTTCATCATATAACTTGTGGCATCAGTCACAAAGAGCAATACGCGCTCATACTGAATGCCATTCAGCCATAGTAAATTCATGGAACTGATAAAAAATCCGGAAACTGCGGAGCTATTTGTGGTTTCAAATTGCTCTACCGCAAGAAGATATGGGGTAGATTGTTCATTCTTATTAAGGGATCCAACTATACAATTTGCAATAAACCATCCCTCACAAACTTGTGTTTCGTCGATTGATACCCACACAAAATTATATTGAATCTTATCTCTATTGCTTTCAATTGTAAAATCGTAACACTGCTACAGGTAATTTTTGCGCACAGTAGATTCATCCGGCACTTTGCACTGTGTATACTTCTCTATGAAGTTTCTCAGAGTAGGATTGGTTAGTTTCCACAGCGGAATATCTGCCGCTAAAAAGGCTTCGCATAAATTAAAGGAAAACTATGAAAAACTATTATTAGAAAATTCACAAAGCAATTTTTGAACAGGAGCACTTTTCGTTAATTTAATTTTAATATTCCCTTTGTGCATATTAGTGTTCAAATGCTGAAGCAGTTGAAAGCGTTTTTCACAACCGTTTCCTCACACGCTGGGCAGTAAAGAATTTCGTTATTCGTACTTATCATCTCTCCTTCGAACTCCCGTTGATACAGCTGTAATTTAGTTTTCTGACTTACTTTCACTTTCGGCATGACTACAGAAAGCTAAACAAACTTAACTACAGATAAGTCACTACTAATGTGAATGGTCCCCAGCTTCAAATGAAGAAGCGTTACGAACCTCATGGAGACTTAGGAAATTAATAAATGAAGTCCCTTATCGGTTGAGTAGTATTACGTTGATAGCGGCTATATGTGAACGCTTCTGACTAATCTCTTCGCGGCCACTTTGATGGTACGCGGATGAGGCAAGTTAGAGTGGAGGGATCGGGGAAGTCCCGTCCTGGGTATTGCATCAGAAACATGAAACATGACGAAATGTTGAGTCACATGCAACATAATCTTATACGGAAAAGAAAAATTGTTTATACACACGACCAAGATTGAAAATTTGAACACAAACTTAAAAAATATATATGATAAACATTTTAAAAAGGAAATATGCAATATAAATATAGATCTTAGAGAATTTTATGCTTATTCATAAAACAGGCAAAATATGGATTTATATGCACCATCAAACCATGTTCAAATTTTAAGAAATGAAGTAATTCATACATATATCCAAACGAGCATACTTTCTGGTTGCAAGAAAGAAATATGCACTTGCATTAAAATCCGGTCCCTGACTATCACATAACTGGTCAACTGGTGTTTGTTCTTGTCTCTACAGAGTGAGTTATGACGTGTCCTGTGATTGATAATCCCACCAACTGCAAAATTCACGCTATTATCTGCTTTCATTACACTAAAAACACGAGTGGTACAGAAATACATTGTGAATTATGCGTGGTTAACGGCCAAATTGTAACGAGTGAAGGAACTGTAAGACAATGGTGTAGAATGTTCAAAGATGGGCAAAAAATGTTCGCTATGAAGAGCAAAGTGGTCGGCCATCTGTGATATTATTTAAAGTGAAAGACGGCACTTTACAATTTCAGAACTTTCATGTGAATTTCCACAATTTTCACACACTGTTTTCCACGAGATTATCGCAGTTTAAGCTAAGCTACATAAGTTTTGTGCAGTATGTGTTCCAAAAATGCTCACGAGTGCGCACAAAAGGCTGAGAATGGATACGGCTTTGGCTTTGTTAGAGGGATGCCACAAAGATGGCAATGAATTTCTCAATCATATCGTACGAGTAACAGGTGATGAAGCCTGGGTGTCATTTATAAATGTTGGAACCAAAGAGCAGTCAGAGAAATGGATGCACACACATTCACCAAATAATCCGAAAAAGTTCGAGAAAATCTTGTCTGCCAGATAGCTCATGGCAACTGTTTTCTGGGACGGGAAAAAGGTGCCGATGGTGGAATTCATGTAACAAGGGACCACAGTAACGTCAGAAGTGTATTGTGAAACACTAAAAAAAGTGCATGTGGCCATTCAGAACAAAAGGCGAGGAATACTGATATACGGTATAGTGTTCCACGATAATGCGCGTCCGCATACAGCTGCTCACACTCCAGCACTGCTGGAGCAATTCAACTGGGAGTTGTTTGACCACCCTCCTTACAGCCCTGATCTCGTTCCAAGGGACTACTGCCTGTTTACCTACCTGAAGCACTGGTTGAGATTGCAGTGCTTCAACAGTAATGAGGACTTGATGGAAGTTATCAAAACGTGGCTGAGCTCACACCCGGTAGACTCTTGTCAGAGGCATACAAAAACGTATTCCCCAATATGATATAAGTGCCTCAATTCCGGCGGTGTCTACGTTGGGAAGTAGCTTAAGTATATACAGTATTATTTGTTACTTATCATATCTCGTTTCGTTAATCTCTCACTGGAGGTTAATTTCCGAATAGCCCTTGTAATTTCTCTGTTGAAAATTGATGTAAGGGTGATTGTAGTTTTCTCACGCTCTTCAGCAGCAACAGGCACCAACATGTCAAAACATTGCTCTATAAAATGTACTGTAGTGTGGGTGTATGTTAGATGCTTTTTTATTTATTAGAACTGATGAAGAAAGGAGGGAAAACACTTCTTTTGTTATGTACCTTAAAGTGAGCCAGGATAATGCAGACAGTATAGCGACTGGCTACTGGCATGAAACTGACTACTCACCTCCAACTAGTGCCGGAGTCAAGAAATATCCATATTTTGGCAACATTAAGAAATAGGCACTTTTAGTCTCCCTATTAAATTTCAGTGTATATAAACTGAGCCTGAAAATATGAAATTCGGCGTTCTCACAGTGGCATCTATCTCCTGGTATATGATGCAGTGTAGGCTACCAGACAACATGGCATCACATCCCAGAAGTTGGTACATTTTAAGCTTGAAGATGGCCACTTTAGCTGAAACAATTTGTACGTATATTTATTATGTTTATTATTATTGTTATTTCAAATACATAGCCACAAGTCAATTAACAGTAGCTGTTTTGTTTTGCATATGCTGAAAATACCTTAACAGTGATTTGCCTTGCTATCACACAGTTCAAAACTCATATTGTTCCTTTGTTTAACAAATGAGGCATGCACAAACATGTTCATGATTTCTTCATACTTGAAGAGAGAATTAAAGCCAGCAATGTGCCAATATGATATACCAGAGGAATAAAGGAAATACAGCATGGTCACATTTTGTACAAATTTGAAATGATGTGATATAATAAATACAGGATGGGGCGCAGAAACTTTCTTTTTTTTGAAGGCGAATCAAATAAAAAGTATTGCTGATAGACAAAATTTATGTTTACCTAATGAAAGAACATACTTTAAAGTTTTAAATCATGTAGTTTTAAACAAAATATCTTGAAGGTGGTGGCCACCATTCTCTATGCACTGATGCAACCGTTTTCTGAAGTTCCCCTCTGCACGTTCCAACATGTGCACCGGAATTTTGGCTACTTCCTGCCGAATAACATTCTTCAGCTGAAGCAGGTTTGTGGGGCTATGTTTAAAAACCTCTGCCTTGAGGTATCCCCATAAAAAGAACCACAGGGCGTTAGATAAGGTGAGTGCGCTGCCCACAGGATGTCACCTCGAAGCGAGATGAGCCGTCCGGGGAATTTTGCCCTCAAAACTGTCATCGAAGCTCGGGCTGTGTGGGCCATGGCACCATCCTGTTGGAACCAGACATTTCCTAGATGCATTTTTTCAAGAGCTGGTTCGAAAAAGTTTTTAATCATGTCCACAAACCGCTGTGAATTGATAGTAACTGCATGATTGTCTTCTTCAAAAAAATAGGGGCCAGTAACTCCAACTCTCAACAGTGCACACCATACTGTAACCTTATCACTGTGAAGTGGCCTCTCATGGAGCTCTCTGGGATTGTTACCACTCCAATAGCACATATTCTGCTTGTTGACATATCCGGATATGTGAAAATGTGCCTCATCACTAAAGAAAACAAGTGCGTCAGGGGGTAAAGTTTCCAATAATGTTTCACACGCCGTTACTCGGTTCTGGAAATCATGTGGTAACAATTCTTGCACAACAACCATCTTATAGGGATGGAAATGAAGATGTTCGTGAAGAATTCGGCACATTGAACGATGGGATATGTCTAGGGCGACTGCATGTTTGTGAGCGGAGCATCTTGGAGATCTCAAAATCAACTGTCGAACTTCCTCCACATTTTCTGGCATCATAATGGTCCGTTGTTGTCCTGATGATGTTTTCACCACACTTCCAGTTGTCCTAAAGTTCTCTACCCACAAGACAATTGATTTCCGGTCGGGAACCGGACCTCTGGGCTTAATTCCAAAGTGAGTATGGAACGCACGCTGCACTGCCACATAGGAATGGTTGTTTGAAAAATAGGCTTCAACAGCAAACGCACACTGCTCACTCATCCACCTCATGTTTCCTACTGAGGGGTATTAGGCAGAAACTTCCGTGACTGCTGCGTTCGCCAAGCCTATCCCCACTTTTCTGCAACCTCCCCTCCCTTCACAATGCGTCTTCACATAAAGGAAGTTCCTGTGCCCCACCCTGTATTATTAAAGTCTCACTTTATGCGCAAATTTGAAATAATGCAAATTCTGTTATTATTATTCCTATAAGAAAATGTGTTTGAATTATGCAAGGTTTCCAGGAACACATCCTTGGATAAAATGTGACTGCACTGTATTGATAACATGCTGGTATGAACATTATTATGGTATATTTAGCCTTCAGTGTCCTGTTAAATACAGCTGAATAATATCCAGTATTTTTTATGTCTCATAATTCTTCAGTTGTACAGGGAAGAGTCAGGGACTGGTAATGTCTTTATGGCCTTCTCCAGTGATTCAACATGCAGTTCAAATCTTCGGAGTGCCACAGCAGGGTATGAGACACTTAGCCTGAGTGTAATGCCTGCACCACGTTGGCCTTCACAGGTGGATAGCAGCAACTGTAGGTAAAAACTGCAAAATGTTTTCATAATGCATTGATTCAGTCCATGAACATTCTTTGACCATTCTGTGTTTAGAAAGATTAACTTTCCACTTCTAAATCAATTGACAAACTTGTTGAGACTGCGAGAAAGAGTTAACTAACACTTCGAAATAAGAGTTGGATGAAAAGTCAGTTCCTGGAAATGAGAAAGAGCATTCAAATGATTTTTTAGTGTTTTCAAAATAGTATTACAGGATACTTTGTGTAGAAAAATCAAAGAAACAGAAGCAAGAGCAAGACCACATCACTTCCATCATAACTATTTTGCTAATTTATCAATTTGTGTCCTTTGAGGAATTGGGATAGCTCAGTTGGTGTAGTGATGGGCCATGGGCTGGATGATTTAATTCACAGCAGGGACAAGATTTTTCTTCTCCACAGTGTTCTGACTGATTCTGGAGTTCACCCAATCTCCTATCCAGTGAGTACTGGGGGCTCTTTCCCTGGGGGTAAAGTAATCGGGTCTTGAAGCTGATCACTTACATCCTTTTTGTGCTGAGGTCTTGAATGGTGAAGCTATATGACCACTCTTCCATATGTCTTCATGACATAGTAGGTAATTGATTAACCATGGGCAACCTTACCTTATGTCCTTTGAGTTCATTACTTTTTGGTACATATCTTTTGTTCTTTGAACACATCGAGCGAGTATTTTGATTTTTGCTTAGTATTTTGTGATCTAATGTTGAATTTTAATAGCTAACTGAGGAGTTTTATGAAATTGAGTGGCAAGCCTGATCTGTATTAGAAGTCACTACCAGAAGAATGTTAAAAAAGAAACTTATTCTTTCTCTGTAAGCAGTCAAGTGCTGTGTCAGAGATGAAGCCCTCAACTAAAATACTGGGGATGTGATAATGTGCTGCCTGGTCAAGATAACCAGGAGGCTCCACTCATGAGCAGTGATTGATGAGTATGGAAGAGTGGTGGGATAACGGTGTTACAACCAAAAATAACCATTTTATTAAACTACTTGTGATTTTCTTGAAGGCAGGTGAAGAGGCTTTGATTGTTATAAAATGTATTATTATTCATGTTATTAGCAGATGTAGAAGCAACCATCACAAAACCTGCATCTAACCTTTTTTGAAAATGTTCTTTTTAGATTTGTATGATTCTGCAAAAGCTTCACAAAAAATCGGAGAATTTATTCTAAGGGATTGTTTAAAAGTACACTCTGTTTAAATGTGCGCCAGATGTAATAGGAAGAAACTGTAGAGACAAGATTGAATATATGGAATTAAATCATTGTTATAAAATTTATGTCAATAAAATTTCTCAAAAATGGTCCTTTTACCCATTAGATACTCAAAATTTTATCTGCAGCATTTTTTTAATTATTGCAATATTTAATTTCTAGATTATGATTTATTTAGTTCTTTATCTTGTCCTAATCACACTTCATTGTGAAAGGTCAATAAAATTCTTCTTTTCAGCATACCTTTAACAGTTTTTAGATAGGTTAATATATGACAAAAAATGTATACTCATATTATAAAGGTGTACTATAGTTCTCATGTTATATGGTATTGGAAAGATGACTGTTGTTCAGGATCTCATAAACAGCTTATTAACTAAAAGAATGTTAGCAGACATAAACTACTTTCCTTATGACATTATGTAATTTTTGTCTAAAACCTAAATTTCTTGGAAAGTATTAAGAACTGGAAAAGTTTGTTATGGCTTCGAGTAAAGAACCAGTACTTAATGGTCTACACAACCTGTTTTAGGTTACTGTTGTAATTGGTCCTCAAACTGAAATTCCATCAAGAGCCATTCGCTGAGGATGTGTCTGATAATTTGGAAAATCCTCGGAAGGAAATTTCACAATTTTTTTTTTTATTTAATGAAGGTTGTTATACAAACTGTAAAAGTAGTTTCTTATTTTCTCCTGAAGATTATTCTCAAGTGGGGTAACACACAGAGAAATGGAAAGACTTTGCCAAGATTTCTGAGATTGGAAAGTGAACATTAGCAAGTTTTGTTCTTACAGGTTTCCTCAGTGGGCTCATGGCTACTGGCAGCACATGTATATCGAAGGCAACGCACTCACATACAAAGATCACACTACTTTCAAGACCTTTACTATCCGATGCTTAGGCCCTGATTTGGGAGTGAGTGAACGTTTCCCTGTGTTCGCACGCACTCAGTGGTGAGTTGTAAGAGTGGCTTAGTTTGTTAGTATCTGGTATCTTATAACTTGTGTAGTAGTGCCTTATTGATGTTTCAATAGTTTTGGCTACTCTGATCATGCATTTACTTTTTTCTTTTCAGTTATTTAAGGCATATGATCTTTCAAAATGGGCAAAAATATTGTCATTGATAAGTATACTGATGCACAATTTATAATTGCCATGTTCGTGCCCGCCACTTTAGAAAGGGTGAGATAAGAATTATTAATTAACTAGAACATAGTCTTGCACTTAACTTAGCCATAACTGCTTCAGTCAACTTTATTAGCTGACAGTCCACATTACTATAGCTGAATATCCTGACATTTTTCTTATTTACAGTTACTTGGTCAAAACCAGTACCGAGAAATTCCTGCCTCGTGTTCTGTTACATTTACATTTTCATCGATCCAATCACCTCCCCAAAGGGCTGGATATAAGACATGTTATACATTACAAATTCATGATGACCACACATCATATGTCATTGGTACAATATAGTAAATAATCAGGCCTCACGCAGATAGCGAAAGTTGTCAGGACATCCCACAGAGGCTGTGGAAACACCACAGTCACGTTCTTCCCAACCATAACAACTATATGCGGCGCAGTTGCACTCCCTACCCATTACACATACATTGGGCAACCATATCATCAATACAGTTTCATTGTAACATATTAAAAAATACATAACAACCACAGTCATCATACATACTACCACACAACACGCGAGTCTCAACAACATATTGTGACGTGGATAGCCCAAAGGGAAGTGGGGGGTCACGTGAACTCTGCGTTTCCTCGAGTGACATCACATACCCCCACTCCTTTCACCAGTACGCAACACTCTGTAAACAACCCCTCCCCGCCTGCGGTGATGTAACAAAGGATAACGCTATGGTTACTGCCCAGCCGTAAACAACTCCCAACAGCATTGCTCGCAACACCTGTAAACATGGCGACTAGACAACAAAGAAGCAAGCCATTTTCCCATTGTGTGACTGAGGGTATATAAGAGAACTGCACTGCCTAAGGAGTGAGTTGAATTGTAGCCGCTGCCAGAGACAGTTGAATGGATTCACAGAGATGTAGTTGAACAGCAATCTAGGTAGTGAATTGTATATGGTTAAGATTGTAAATGGTGTGATGTAAGAGCGAGTGAAATAAATTCGCTATAAAGCCGTGAAGTTACTTGTTGTGTGACCTACCCAACATGTGACAATATAATAGAAGAACACAGACCAGTTAATTATTCTTAACATTTGAGCCCCTTGCATGCTCGACAAATTCGTCAATAGAGTAAAATGAATTTCTTTGCCAGTAATTTCATAAAGCAGACCTAAATTGATTTTTATCATTTTTAAAACAGAGATATTTGGCGGCAGAGTATTAAATAGCTTGATGGCTGAATAATACACCCCTCTGTAATAGGATGATAAATGTGTTGTAGGTACATGAAGGTGGTCATTCATTCTTGTACTAATCATATATACCGAGTTATTGATCTGAAACTTATCCAAGTTATTTAAAACAAATGTCATCAATGAGAGCAAATATACACATGGGACTGGTAGTATGCCAAGCTTTTTAAGTAGGCCTCTACATGTATGAGTTGGACCCACTCCCGTCATTATTCTTATTACTTTCATTTGCTTAACAAAGACCTTATGACTGTCAGATGTATTTCCCCAATATATTATTCCATAGTTCGCCAATGAATAATAATATGCATAATATTCTGCTTTAAGATTATTAATATTTAATATATAAGATAATTTTCGCACCAGAAAACCAACTGTGCTCAACTTATGGAGCATAATATATATATGTCCCTTACAAGTCAGATGGTTGTCAAGCTGCAGACCAAGAAATTTTATAATTTCTATTTCTTTCAGCGCTTTGTTAGAAAACAGTGTATATAGTTTGTAGCTTGTAGCTGCGGTTGAGGTGAATTTTATTATTTTTGTTCTATCCAGATTTAACACAAGGTGACTGTTTTGAAACCACATAAACATATGATTAAAAACAATGTCCAATTTTATTTTTAAATTATGGTAGTCTTTAACTGTGCAAAGAATACTCATGTCATCTGCAAACATAATAACTTCAGAAATTTGACTTATTTCAAGGGGGAAATCATTTATATATGTATTAAACAGTAAGGGTCCCAACACTGAACCCTGAGGCACTCCACATCCAACAGATTCCCAATTGGAATAATATTTATTCATATAATTTAATTCCACACTTTGCCTCCTATATTGTAGGTAAGATTTGAACCATTGCAGTAATACACCCTTCACTCCATAATACTGTAGTTTCATTAACATAAGTTCATGATTGATGCAGTCAAACGCCTTGGCTATATCACAAAATATTCCAGTTACATTCTCTTTTCTATTCCAAGCTGTAGCTATTACATTGGTTAATTTATATATAGCATCTTCAGTTGATAATCCATTTTGGAAACCATACTGCTTTGAAAGCAGTATTTTATGTGCTACAATATGATCATTGAGTCTTCTAGAAATTGCTGTTTCAAAAACTTTTGCAAACCCAGTTACTATAGAAATTGGTCTGTAGTTACTTATAACAGCCTTTTCCCCTTTTTTGTATATTGGGTTAATAATTGCAAATAGTAACACAAATACTGTCATCAGTTCATAATATTGCAGTAGATAATAACCATTAGAAATGCTGAGAACAAAATGAACAAGTCAAAATTAAAGTGCAAAGTGTTTAAGAGAAAAATAAAACATACAAACATTATCAGTACTATGAAAAACTATAATCATTTTGTTATCATTTCAGAACACTAAAGCTGTAAGATACTGTGTCTGAAACAGTTATTTTAAGCATTATTTCAGTGTCTCTTTCTCTGAAAGAAAAATAAATTTGAAAGTATTTGGATTCAAAATATTCAAGATATTTGGGCTAATACAAAAGGAGAAAATTAAAATAGTAAGAACTTTGTAATTCAGACTATTCTGGTATTACTGCTATGAAAGTATGATGTGGTGATGTGGAGAACATTAAGCTTCTTCAGGTTAGGATGATATGGCAAGTTTTTACATTAGTGATATCAAATCTTTGGTTATGATACCAGAGAATTATGTACAGTTATCAGCATTGACAGTGTCTGTCATCCTGAGTTTTTTCAAACACAGTTTTGGAAAGTTTCTGTGTTCAGAGAGGAAAAGTTCTTACACAGAAACAAAGCCATTTTAAAAAATGTTGTGTTTGAGAGTATGGCATGCTTGATGAGACAAGAGTGCTCTTGAATCAGCAGATGATTATACATTTTTTATGGGAAATTTTAAATTGTGAATGAAATTATTTCATACATAAATGAGATTGGGTGGCAAGAGAGCAAAATTTGTTATTAATAAGATGTCCTTTTTGGTTTTTCATTTTTTAATGGTGCCTTCAGTTGCTAAGGTTATGTAGTATCAGTTGATAGGATGTTACTGAATAAAGAATTGGAAAAAAAGTCAGAGGAACTGGTCATGTCCCAGTTTAAGGTGCTGTCTTAGCATTAGGCTGGACAGACTGAAGAAACCATGAGAAACGTGTCATTATAGCAGGTCTCCTGGACAAGATTGTAACTTGGTTCTTCCCAAACAGGCAGCAGGTCTGCTAGCCATTTGGCCATGACACTCAGTGATGAAGGTTTCATATATAATACTAAGAGGTCATTAGTTATGATACTATTTATGAAAATTTTATGATCCAACTGAAGATAAAAGCAAAAAAATAGTGATAACTTTTCTGAGAAACTACAGTATGTACTTAATACCTTTGTACAATGTAATATAGCTGGGATACCTAACTAAATAAGTAACTCCATGGAACTGAGTCTTTCTTGAGAAGATGCCAGTTGCTCAGCTACCCAAGAATTTCCTAACATTTTTTGGAACCTGAAAATTGAATACTGTGTTCACAAGAAATCTGATCTCTATCTTGCACCACGTCAGTGCAGTCCATACCACTCAATGGTATTTCTGTAAGATCCATTTTAGTATTATCATCTCACCTGTGTCTAGGTCTTCCTATTGGTGTCTTTCATCCTGGATATCCTGCAAAAGTAATGTTGTGTATATGCACACACACACACACACACACAGTGTAATATGCCTGGGATAAACATAAATACACACGCACACATACACAGTATGTTATCTTTATGACTGAATTAATATTTTACATTTCTCAGTTCTTGTTGGAAAGGTGTTACATATCACTGGTAATGCTGCATTGTCACAAATGTGCCTTGTTTTGTCATTTCAGTGGAGAAGAAATGTATACATGTATCTGGCTGAAGAGACGTGGTGTTAATGTTTTGGAATTTCAATTAGGTATGTTATGAATGCTGTTGAACGCGCTAAATAAATAAGTTCATGTACACAGGGATTTGAAAACCTTACTAAAAAGTAGGAGGAAAAATATTAATAATGTTATATTTTAGCGTCCTGTTGCACTGATTTAAGTCCATGATTTATTTCACCATCTTCTAGTATAACACACGCAGTCACAGGAGCAAGACACAACATAAAGCACAATACACACACGAAAATAGAAAGAGTGCTCCGACAGAAGAGGATAGATGTGACTCGAGTAGTGAGATACGACATAGGAAAAATCCTGAACAATTTTAATATTTAATATTTATCAATATATATGATAAATATATATTTTAATTATTTTTTTATTATGAAGACGACAAGGCATGCAGTGAACTAGTTTAACGTCAATCGAATAAGCACCTGAAGATGGCACTTTTGTGCCGAAACATGTAGTGCGAGAGAGAGGAGTGAGGTAGATAAGTGTATGCGCTAGAAGACGGTGAAATAAATCATGGAAAAATATTATTTTATTATATATTTTTAATCGAAATTCTGATATGAAGTGTGTGATATTTCTCAGTTTCCCATAAGGTTATGGTCTTGCCAAACACTGTACTTTTTGGTACTGTAACCCCTATGGCCGTGACTGATAACTTCATTTTATTTTGATGTACACAGTAAATTTACTAAATCTATTGCCATAAGATTTAATTTTGTCTATTAAGTAACCATAAAAATTAATTCTGCAAATTCCGAATTTGTGTTTCAATAAATATATGATGTCTGTTGTCCAGTAAGGAAACTATTTTTAACTTTCTTCCCGCGACATTTCATATCTCTCTCAAAATAGCAAATGTCACACAAATTGACATATATCTCGGTCACCAAAGTCCATTAATGAGTTAAATGAGTAAGCATCACTATGAGACAAGAGCTTCCTTGTGATAGATTTCATTGAAATATGTAGATAACCAGTGTGTTAATTGTTATAATGAATGTATCTGTGGAGATTACTGTTTCTGAGATGCAAACTCGTGTAACTCAATAGGGGTTTACTGACATTTCAGGGGGACATATGCTTCCATCTTCAGGGCCTTAGAGTAAGCCAAGCAGGTCATTAGCAAGAAGCAGGCAGCAAGCAAAGTTGCCTGTTTTGGTGAATGTGTGCTGTACTACATCACATTACATCTCAGGCCCTATGAGATCATAAAATCCAACAAATGTAACAATATCTGAAAAATAATTCATCCTTTCTAAAGTGCAGAATTCTAGAATACGTTAGAGCTGCTAATAAGGCAAACATTATCTGTTTCAGGTTTGCAGTCAAGTACTTATTACAACAGCACATTATGTTCAGACACAAATTTTGAGCCAAAGATATGGATTACACAGGGCAGTAAGTGTGCTTATCTATATTACTTACCAATAAAACTGCACATTTGACTGGTTGTAATAGTAGTACCTATAGACATACCAAAGTATTTGGAATTGAACTATCTTAATTAAAACTCATGGGTCACGACACAGTGAAATCTGATACACATACAACTTATATATACAAGGTTCAAACTTTTGGTCTTCTTTACTCTTTAAGATTTACCAAACCGTGACTGAGAAATTAAATTATAGCTCTCTGTTTGTAACAGAACTGTAACATGTTCACCATTTTAGATTGTTATATGCAACAATATCCTTGTTGTAGAGGCCAAAAGCCAAGTCAGTGTTGGACAAGATTATAAATGTTTCACATCCTAAGATTACTTACAATTGGAGAACAGAATAAATTTCTGGTTTTCTAGTATTCAAGCATTTCCTTGCCCTCAAACATGCTTTTATGCATGTTATAACTTGGAGAATAATCAGTTCATAAAGCAAATGGAGTGACTCTCCACTTTTCTGGAAAGAACAAGAAGAGAAAGGGAGATGGAAGTTCTCAAAGTTTTGGGAAAGAGAGGCATGTGCTGGCCAAGCTGCACTGTCCACTTACTGTGCCTTGTTCAGTCCAGTGACATATGTTTTTACCTTTTATTGTAGTGCCAAGGCATAAACACAAATTTGGTTTCGTCTGTATTTACTTTTAGAATAGCTTCCTCAGTAGCAACTAATACTTCATTCATTGTAATTATTTGGCAATCATAATTACTATAAAGGGGAACAATTGAAGAAATCACATCATTTAATACATTATTCTTGAAATCCTTTTGCCCAAATGCCTAAAGGATTAGAATCTGTCAACACTAAGTAATCACTCTTGACATGGTTAACCTATAATTCAAATATAACACACACTATCAAACCAGATAAATAATCAAATTGGATACAATATGTAAATCGAAATGCAAGCCAACTTTATGAATTTATTGAGAGGATTTTAAGAGTATTACAGTAAATCATGAGTCCCACATATGACCATGTCAATCACCAATCACATTCAGATACTACAAGCAACCATTTGTTAGGGGCCGCGCCATAGCTCAAGTGGTTATTCGCTGGCTTCCTACCACGGCGGTCCGGGTTCGATCCCGGGTCTGGTCAAGTGGGATTTGTGGTGGACAAAGTGGCGCTGGGGCAGGTTTTCTCTGAGTACTTTGGTTTCCCCTGCCAATCTTCATTCCACCAATTGCTCCACAATCACCCTCACCTATAATCTGGGGCTGGTACAATAGGCCAGAAGTGGCTGCAGTACAAAGGACTTAGTCCCACCCCACTAGCAATAAAAAACATTTGTTATCTATTTCAGTTGCTAAATAGGGGTTTTGCTGTGTTTACTACTGTCCCTCTAAGAGAAATTCATACAATGTATAAAGTTGATGAGCTAGTAAAAATACTTTTAGCCCATTTTTAAAGTCTTTACATCCATCTGATCTTAATTCTAAAGGCAGTCTTTTATAATACCCATATTGATAACACTCTTCTTAAAAATTGATGTGTTAACAATTTGTGGTAATTCTCTCCTGATTGAAATGTATGATTTTTCGTTGTTCATAAATAGCTGAGTTCTGTCCAACTCTGCTTTCATTCTTACTCTTGTATCTAATTTATTATGAGTGGCAGTTGATCTATTATATCAAAATTCCTACTAATGATCCCCAGTAGTTTCTTCAGGATATGGATTTATTTCAGCAACTGAAAGAATCATGCAGTCATTCATTCAATCAGTCAGTGTAATAAATACTAATTCTGTACTGTAGTTAAAATTATAGATTGAAAAAGCAGATGAAGTTCAGGTTGATTCATATAAGTGTGAAAAGCTTCATCCAGTAGAAATAATTGTTAAGGTATATTCATAATATAGTAAATTTTATTTAAACAGGATTAGAGCGATTGCAGGAATCACCATGTCCAGTGGCTGGAGAATATACAGGAGTTATCCCAGATGCAACAAATCTCTGTGCAAAGCTGTCTTCTGACTGCAAGTCTCCAGAGATAATGTACTACATGGTGTCAGATTGTTCCCAGTCAGAGATATATGAAGGTGAGTCTCTTCTTATTCATCCCTGAAAATTGAAATTGGTATTGTCAACCATCATGTTTCATGGCAAGTGGAATCACCCTGAAACTTTTACCGCTTTTAATGAAATTATGTTGAAACATACTTCTGTTGCTTCATCTTGAAGGAGCATTCAGTGACTACTTTCATGAGTAACTTTAATTTAACTTGTAGGCATTCGAAGACGAGGAAGGAACCGTCGTCAGACTGGCACCAGGATCTACCGCATCAGTAATCCCCATACATCCACCACTCCTTTGCCTACATTTACTCACTTTCCTTTTAGTCAGTCAAATAATGAGACAAATTTGAAAAAAGGTGACAAAATTCAGCAGGACCAGTCAAATTCTGAGGCCGGAAAATCTAGCAGACTTTCTGGACCCCAACAAGATCATGATCCTGGACATAAACGGTCACATTATTCATACTATAAAGGTCCTAGTTCTCGGTATCCTACTTCATATCACATTGGTAGCAGTTCAACCACCTTGAGCCCATTAGATTCACAACACGAATACTTGGAGGAAGAATATGATCCATGGACTTTTTCAAAAACGCATGGACATCAGGCAGACAGCCATAAAGTTACACAACATCATGGAACAGAATACAGTTCCCACCTATCAGAAAACAACAGAAATCCTGCATGGGCTTCAGCCTCTTACTATGGAACAAGTAGTAATTCTAAATCAGAATCAGGTGGAAAGCAGCAAGACCAGACTTATGGCCCGAGATCTCAATGGAACAGACAGAGTACTTCAATGGGATCCACCCCAGGGGTTGGGATGGTAAGCAACACATACAGTGGTGACAGAATATTTAGAAACAATAATCCACAAGGAAGTCCAAGTACTTCCAGCAGCTTCTCTGGGCCTTACAGAGATACAAGTTTTTCTCATAATAAAAGTTCACAGAATAATCAAAGGACAGTTAACAGCTATTCTGGCCCACATGCAAACACAAGAATTGCATATGGTGATAGTTCACATGGAACCCAAAGAATAGGAGGCAGTCATTATGGATCAGACAGTGGCTCTGGCTTTCATTATAATGAAAATTTACCAGTTAGTCATAGCATTGTTGGTAACTATCCTGGTTCAGGTGAAGACTGGGGCTCCTCTTATAATGAAAATTCACAGGTGACCCAAAGAACTGTGGAAAGATATTCTGGATCAAATAAGAATCTTGGATTATCTCACAGTGAGGACAGATCTCTTAAGAGCTATTCAAGATCAAATATTAACCAGGACTTCTCCCAACATGATCACGTATCTCCAAGTAGTTATTCAGCGTCAAATAATAACCAGGGATTCCCTTACAATGAACAGAGACCTCCGGATGGCTATTTAGTTACAAATAGGAACCAGGGCTTCCCTCACAATGAACACAGACCTCCAAGTGGCTATTCAGAATCAAACAGGGATCATACTTTCTCTCACAATGAACACAGATCTCCCAGTGCTTATTCAGGTCCAAGTAGGGGCCAGAGTTTTGACCAGAATGAAAATTCACATAGAAATGGTGGATCCTATGCAGATTATTCAGTTTCACAGGTCTCTTCAAGCTCTGAGCCAGTAGGATCTCACAGGAACCATGGGCTATCAGTTGAAAGAGGCGCTAGTTCTGAAAATCATGGTACCTATAGAACTGTGATTCAGAATGCAGGAAAACATGTGTTTCGTACAGAAGACCACAATCATGACATGGGTTTTCCAAATACAGGACTGGATCAGAAAGCATATCCAAGAAGAGTCACAGAAGTGAGAGATCAGGAGAGGAATGTTAATGGGCAACAGCATGCTATTACTCATGACATAAGTTCCACAGTCCACTGGGAAGAAAGATTATTGTCACAAAATCATTGGAACAACAATGTCAGTACCCAGCCTTTCAAAGCCACTGAAAGCCGGCATCATGGATTGGAAGGATCTCACTCTATTCTGAAACCTGATCCTGTCCAGTTCCTGCCCATTCCAGTCCAGAGACCCAGACATGGTGACAGACCAAGCACTGTTCCAAGAACAGCCACCCTCTCCAAACGAGAAGGTAGTCCTTTGCCTGATAATCAATGTATTGCTTGTTTCAGGACCTCTTGCAGCACCATGCACTTGATGCTTTGTGTTTACACATGCTGTCTTGTTTCATGATGGTGAACCACATTCTGATCAACTTGGCCTAATTAGGCGCTTTAGAAATGAACATGTTTTTAAAAATCTTCCTTGAGCTCAGTTCACTTTTAGAATTATCAAGTCCCATTCTATTATTTTTAGTATTAAATTCATCAGTGTCATTTCTTTAGCACTTTTTTTATTACTACTGGATAGGGGCCAAGTCCCTTGTACTGTGGCCTCTTCTGGCCTATTGTACCAGCCCCAGATGATAGGTGAGGTTGATTGTGGAGCAATTGGTGGAATGAAGATTGGCAGGCGAAACCAAAGTACTCGGAGAAAACCTGCCCCAGAGCCACTTTGTCCACCGCAAATCCCACATGACCATACCTGGGCTCGAACCCGGGGCGCCACGGTGGGAAGCAGGCGAGTAACCGTTTGAGCTACCCAATTGGTTCCTTAAAAATATTACCACTCTTGCCAAGGCAAGACGTTGTTATATCTCTAGTAAAGTTTTGCATCTTACATGAAGATTGGGCAATCTGCATTATGTCATGTATCAGAAAAATCGCCTGAATCGATCACATTCTCTCATATTCCTGTGACAGAAGAATCTTTTGCATAACTTCTTAGGATATTGAACTCACAACAATTAGAAATGTTACATTGTCTGGTATGTAAATTCATTAAATCTGAAGATTGGACTCAGTTCAGGCAATCAAGCTAGCAATTCTGAATTTCCACTCTTGCTTGATGTTGTGCTTCTCTTGGCCAGTGTTCTCTGTTACCAGTGTCACTGACACCTAGTGTCTATTCAAATGTAAAGTTTGTATTGGGCTGTCTAGAAATTTACAGACTTCATGGTAGTGTCATTTACAGTCATGCCATCACACATCTGCCATATTTCTTCTTGCTGAACTCTACATGTAGAACCTAAGCAACTGGGTACTTGTGATGTGTTTACCACTTGCAAGTTCCAGTTTAGGAGGATTGAGGTCAATGAAAATTTAATGGTTTTCTTCACTGAAGTGCATGGATGATATCTTAAAACAGCTAATGTTAAAGCATACCAATTTACCAACTGTATCATCACCACAGTCCCCTGTCCAAAGGTGTGGGACCCTGAATTATAGAAGAGTAGCCTTGATAAGCAATAGTGATATTGTCAGTAGATGGTGAACAAGAGAATTTCATGAAATGGGTGTAAAATTAAATTAGATTAAAAAATTGGGCAATACAAGTTGCCAGTAAAATCACAGTTGTTTTTGGTGATGGTGCATGATGGTTGTGGTGCATGATGCAATAGCATGCCTTGTGCTACAACACTGTAACCATTCAGTAGCATGGAATAATATTCCATATTTAGAACAGGATGCATGCACTTACCTTATAATCTGTTTATTTGTGCATCTAGAACCCTACCAGTATATCTTAGTGGATGTAAATATTGTCAGTCATTTCCTGGCTAGGGAAAGAACACCTGATATAGCAAGCAAATGATTATGAATTAAATCCCAATTGAAGTGAGATCATTTTCCTTAAGCAAAATAACATTTGTGTTAGAAACTTTAACCCATTAGCACATTTTTGCTTTACTCTCTGCATAATACTTATATTTAAAATGAAGTATTATTTGTGATTTATAAAAAGTCTTCTGTGTTGAGTTGTTATGTTTCAAATTTTGTACAGCCAATTTCAAGAAACAACCTACTTTTTTGTAATCTCTTGTAATAATGCATTTTTCTTTTCATAAAATGTGTAGAGGGAGTGAGATCAGTATATTTATAATTTACGGGAATTTTTAGGAATATTTATGGTAATCCAGCGTGTACATTCTTGTGCAGCATAAGTATGAATATTTCTATTGGACATTACATGTGTTTATAATACTTGTAAAATAGCCATGCATAGATAAAAGACACCATGGAAATATCAGATTAAGTTGGTTATGCAGCTCATTTACCTGCAGACCAACTGGAGGTGTTAGCTGTATACTGCCCGAGAAGAACAAGTTTTACTATTTTTTAGGCTTATTCAGCAAGTTTAATTATTGATAGTATTTCAAATTATGTAAATTCAAATGGATAAGGATACATAAACATTGTAATATTAGGCACAGAAGTGCTGAGGCCTATGGCAGAGTGCAAATGATTCACAACTACCATCCAATTCCTGTCTAAATGTCTAACCTCAAGATGCAGTCTTGTTACACAAAGAAGCAGAAGACGGGAAACTTGAACTGCTGAGAATATGATGTAGGTAAAATTACAAATTAATTTGCATTTGGACCTGAGATCTTACCATTGCTTCTGCAATAGAGTAACAATTGATCCTGTAGGGAGTAGATGTTCATGTGGAAATAAAGAAGAGATTAATAATCATGTGACCAGCACTGACCTCTGATTGTATCACTGGATTTTCTAATGAAAACATTCACAATCTGAAGATGATATTCAGATTTCATTCTCCATCTTCAGGGTAAGAGCAAGTTGGTCATTTTTCTGGCCAGAGGTGTAAGCTTACAGATAAAAGTGCCAGGGCCAGCTGTCACACGTTTCTAGATTGAAAGAAATGAGCATCAGTCATGATGTGAAATTGTTCTTACTATTTAGTGACAGACACAAATGCAGATTGAACCATAAACAGCTCACAAACTGCACATAGAGTTGTTAAATATTGTTTCTGCCTCAGAGGGGACTGAAATTATACAAACTACAATTTTTTCATGTCACCTACATATAAAACCTTTAGCAAAAATACTTTTAAAATTTTCCTTTCATGTATTTTCATAAAAAATACTGTGAACATATTATTTTTTTCCACTGTATGACTAAATATGATGATTCATAGAATCATACATTCGTAGAATGTCTATAATCATTCAGCGCCAAAGATGTCAGAATCCCAAACCAAAGTGAGCACAGGAATGACTGTGGTATTCATGTAGGGTTTCTAATTACTGGAAGGCAACTTTTTAAAGAAATTTTAAAACCACTGTAAGTTCTCTTTTAAAAGGAACTGTTAATCAGTATAACAGTATATCATAACTTATTTAATGGGCAACTATGATGTTACTTCAGAAGAAACCATTATCATATTGTCACGTGTTGGGTATGTCATGCGACAAATAACTTTACGTTGGTCTCAGATTTAGCGAATCTTTATTGAACACTCACACTTACACACCTTACAATTATTATCGCTTGCAATATCACTTGGCTCCTGGCCCAATATTTCAATACGATGTGTCAACTGTCCTTGGCCGTTGCTGGGTCCCAACTGTTTTTGGAGGCGGCTATCCCAAAACTGTGTCCTTCGGCGGCTATTTCCAGACTGTCTTATCAAATGTATTGCCTTCTTATATATCTGTGGCTGTTGCTACGCATTGAAATTTCTGTTGTAACCATGAGGACTCCTGTTAGAATTACAATACTGCTGTTGTTATTTCCTATGCAACGGTCTATTCTAGCATTTCCATGGAAGTATCTCTTCTGGGTTCCGAACATGTGACACTGCTCCCTTCTAAAGGTTGTTCATCCCTGAACAGAACAATGAACAGGTGTTCATTGGTGTTCTGTTGACAACGTCTATGTGGTGTTCCTTCTATCGCATCCGCCCCTTTCTTCCGTGGTGTTCGCCCCGAGCACTTGCATGGCCCAGTGTTCGTCAATCCGTTGTTTCACATTCATTCATTACTTTCATCCATCCCTCATTCATTCTTGCTAGGGAGGCCAGTGCTTCTACTACCAGTTCCTCCCGTACGGGCCGTTTCCTTTTTTTCGTTTTGGAGGGGGTCGACACCACCACAGTGTCCAATCCATGGTTTTCTGTAACCCGCTAGAAATCTCTGCTGCTTGTTTCCTGATCTCCAGCCCTGGGGTGTTCCTGAGGGTCTTGTTGAATTCCCTCTTGCTTTGTGGCTGCTGTCTCGGCTCTCTGTTCCTCTCGGCTGACACTTCCTCCTGAACATCCATCGTTACAAGTTTCCTCGTACCATGTTGTCCCTGGTGTGATCTTTCCTGATAGTGATTTCTTTGCACCATGCCACTTCTGCACGGCAGGTCACCCTGAATCTCTCAGCGGCCAGTTCCTTCTGCAGTCGACACTTTTCCTGGGTCTTGTTAGCCCTGAGAATGTCTCTTTTGCATCATGCCACTGTTGCACGGCGGGACATTTTGTCTCTTGGCGTTTTTTGTGCCACTTTTGCATGGCGTGTTGTCCCTCTGCGGGTGACAGCCAATTCCATCGCGGGTCCACAATTTTTCTGTCAGATCCTTCGGTTTCTGACTGCGGCACTCCGTGGCCAGTTTTCAGTCCCTAAACCTTTTCTTCTTTGGTTCTCTGACCAGCATTACTTTGGCATCTTCTGCAGGGACCTCTCATTGCTCTGCCGCCTCAGGTTTCCTGTCCAGTGAGGTTGACTTTCTCTCTTCTTGACGTACCTCCATCTCTTGGCAGGCCAATGCCTCGTCGTGGTTGTCGTTCATCCATTTGTCTCTCTTTACGGCCATTTCTTCTCACCATGCTTTCATCGTGGTCAGCAACTCTTTATGTTTGGCCTTCCTATTGGCCTCCGTCTTTTCTTGGCCAGCTCTGAATTCCTTCAGCAGGAGTTCCATCATCTGCTGTGAATCCATTTCTCGATGCACTCGTAAATTCAGTGATTCACTGAGGCATGTTCAAGTTCATAATCCCACCTCTGACACCAGTTGTCACGTGTTGGGTATGCCACATGACAAATAACTTTATGTGGGTCTCGGATTTAGCGAATCTTTATTGGACACTCACACTTACACACCTTACAATTATTATCGCTTGCAGTGTCACTTGGTTCCTGGCCCAGTATTTCAATACAATGTCTCAGCTGTCCTTTGGCAGCTATTTCCATACTGTTTTGGCGAATGTATTGCCTTCTTATATATCTGTGGCCTTTGCTAT